TTTTCAAGTTTGACTAAAATTATAGAGAGAAACACAAAGATTGATGACATCAAATAGGTATAATATAAAAATATAACTAATGAAGAATCTAATGATACTTACTTGATATGATAAATATTATTATTTTGTTATATAAATTTGGTTAAACTTGAAAAACTTTGACCCTCCAAGATTCTTGTAATGAATTACAATTTAGGATGGAGGGAGTATATACTAGTCCTTATCGAAGTTGCCAGCCTTGTACTATATGCTAGTTTGGCTTGCTCACGTATATACTCCCTCCGTCCCAAAATAAAAGACGTTCTCGCTTCCCGAGAAACGACTGCCGGCAATTATATATTAAAATATATAAATATTTATGCTAAGTAATTAGTATCATCGAAAAGATCTTTTTGTCTAGTTTTTTAACAAATTTATTTGAAGATATAAATACTGCACGTATTTTCTACAAATCGAGCCAAACTTGTGGCACGAAAACCCAAAACGTCTTTTATTTTGGGACAGAGGGAGTATGGCCTAGTAATAGTAATAAGAAAACAAAGAAAAGGAAACTTGGAAAAGGCAATAAAGCATACCGAACCAAACAGCTGTAGTGTGCTACTGTGCTTGCAGGTCAAAGGCTGCTGGTAGCATAGTGCATAGCCATGCATGAGCCCTACTAGCTGCTTGCCTGCTTCCATTGGCCTTAGAAAAAACTTTCAACGCAGGCTACTACGGAGTACGGTATTGCACAGGCTTGGTACCAGACATTCCAGCGTGATTTACGGTGCAGCCTACCTACCAACTCCTGCCAAGTGCCAATCCACACGGCTCTGAGCAGACACAGGCACGATGAACTTGCCGAGAACGGTAGGCAGATTGGCTGGTGCAGGTAGTCTGATTTGATTTGGTTTCTGCCGTCCGAAAACGGCCGGACCAGCAGAGGCACCACGTGGGGAAAAATAATAATTGAGTGAGGGACATAGAGTAAGCGCTAGCAACTCCAAAAAAATAAAAAAAATCAGCAAGGCCCTACTAGGACCCACAAATCTCCCTCCGGTCCTCATTCTTGCAGGCTCTAATTCTATCCTCTATCGTCAGCCACTCTCTTCCTCTTATCGTATCCTTGCGCCCTCCCACGGGTGTCGCTCCTCGCTGCCCCGGTGAGTGGATCCTCGCGTCTCCGGACTCTTCTCCGCAAGTCGCCCGACCTCACATCGCTCCCCCGCACAAGTAAATCCTCGCGCCTCCAGCATTTTGCCCACGAATCGCCTGACATCTTCCTCGCCCGAGGATAGTCGCAAGGCACATAGCTCAGTCGATAGAACGAGGATAAGATATAAATAGAGAATGACAATGGGTTCCTTGTGTCAGAGTTTGTTAGAATGGATTTGAGGGCTCCTAAGTATATGTATAAAGTTAGATCTAAAAAATAAGAGAACCCTCAAATCAAAAGTACGAGGACCTGATGATTTGAAGGCTCTTGTTGGAGTTGCTCTAATAGCCTGCTGTGAAGAGAGAGTCATGATCCTTCCAAGTTCATGCAATAGCCACATGTGTGGAAAGAATGCTTGTACAACCTGTAGACATAGATCAGGTCCACGGCGGCTGCTGCCGGCCGGGCTGCGCCTAACAAGGTTCGGCAGAATTATTAGGAGTCGGCTTAGTTATATCCAGCCAAAAATTATGGACCAAAAAATGCATCCCCGGTCCGCGCGAATGGCATTGGTGTGCATTGTTAGGCACAGCGTAGCTGTCGGGAACTGTATCACGATTAGGCTGATGATGTTTCGTCAGCTAGCTCTGGAGTCTGGAGTCTGGACCCTGTGGTTGCCCAACATGTGTAGTGTGTTGTGCAAGGGTTGATTTTCATTTGGGAACGAAGATGATGATGATAATGACCTGGATCTGAATTTGTGTGCAACATGGCTATCGGTATTCAGTAGCATCAGGGTAGCAGCAAATGAAACAGGTCTTGGTGTGTTCAGTAGCAGCAGGGGTACCTAGCAGCAAGTTCAACTGCTGCATGCTTTGGGCGCTAGCTAGTACCAGACTACCAGTGGTAGTAGTAGGTGACCGAATTGGTGGGCAGGCTGGCCCGGACTGGATGTGTTTGTTGTTCGTGACATGGGAGATCGATTGTGGTATTCAGCTGCAAAAGCTGCTCCTTCCCTTCGTGATCATGACTTTGCCTTTTGTTTTCAGTCAGATGTCTTTCACGGGGACGGAGGTAGTGCCATCGATCAGAAAACACATAAAGAGAAAGAGAGATGGAAACAAAAGGGGGAGATAGCGAGGAGTGTTTGGGACTGCTCCACTCCACGTTTTTTAGTCAAACGATTTTAGCTGCACGCATCGGAGAAAAAAGGATGAAGTTATGAGAGCACTAAAGAGATACTCCACAAACTCTGGTTTTCTGGGAAGTTGTTTCACGGTGGAGTTCGTGGAGCAATCATGGTCAGTCTTAAAAGAAAAAATGCAGGTGCACACACTGCTAAAGATAGAGGAGGCGCGTGTATCAGTGTGCGGAGTAAAAGGAGAGAGAAGCCAGACTTGACTGGTTGGAGTTGGACCGTGCATATGCATGCATGTCATGTGCAGTAAAAGTCCGTGCACCGACGAATCGTCATACCACGGTCAGACTGATGCCTAGAAGGAAGGAAAGGCTGGTCTGGTCGCGGCGGCCTGTGACGTGATCCCGGAATTGGCGGTAGGACAGTACACGAAGACGCGGCGAAGGGATCACCTTTTTTAAGAAATCTTTGTTTGCAGGTCGTCTCGTTTTCTTTACGCTACTGCTGCTCGGGTAGGTAGAAATCGTTTGGTCTCCATCGACACATAAGCAGCATGCCTGCCTCTGCTTGAGCTGGTGCTGGGCGCTGCTAGGCGGTTGGTTCGGTTACCCGCACTCGCACGCAAGCGGCGACCGGCGAGGCCAGGCGCCCAGGCCCGGGCGGCCCCCCTATCGTCGCCGCTCGCCCGGGCTGCCCGCCGCTCCGCAAGCGGAGGAGGAGGCGGACAAGTACAGGCGCCGGGATTTGTGTGGCTGGTTCATGCCCGCGGTCGACACGGGTTGTACTCCGTACAAGGCAAGCCACCGGGAGCGGAGCCAGACAGTGTTCATTCTGTCCCGTGACAACAATTTTGCGTGTGTGTGTTTCTTTCTAAGATAGATTTCATATAATAGGTGCGTGAAGGAAAAAAAAACATACTAGAAAGAAACCGAGTACAACTTATCTCTAGTAAAGTTCAAGGTTCAATAGCATTATACAAGCCAAGTCTACAATATGAGGGCAACAAATGATTATTAGTGCATAGTGCACGGAGCTTCTCCATCAGCTACCCGATACGCCCCTCCTAATAAGGGTGTGTTTAGTTGGCGAAATGAAAATATTTGATGTCACATCAGATGTTTCGGGGATGTCGGGAGGGGTTTTCGGATACTAATAAAAAAACTAATTACATAGCTCGTCTGAAAACTGCGAGACGAATTTATTAAGCCTAATTAATCCATCATTAGCGCATGTGGTACTGTAGCACTTATGCCTAATTAGGCTTAAAACATTCGTCTCGCGATTTCCAACCAAACTGTGTAATTAGTTTTTTTTTCGTCTATATTTAATACTCCATGCATGTGCCGCAAGATTCGATGTGATATTTTGGGATGAAAATTTTTGGAAACTAAATAGGACCTAAAGTGATAACATAGGTGTCCTAATACCATTTTTTGAGTATTGAGAGAAATGCCTCAGAAGATCACCAATAATCTCTCCTAATACATAAATGTCACGTCATAGTTTATTTATTTCTCTATTTTCTTCCTCTCGTTTTCTTTCCATGGCAGCATCGGGATCGTCTCCAATTCTACGTCGCGCGCAAGTTCAACGCCCGCCCCTTCTCTTCTTCGCTTCAAATCCGGAGTCGCTGCTATGGCCGCCGCCCGCAAGCTCCTCCTCCTGGCCACATTCGTGGAGTTCGCCTCTGCCGCCAAAGTCGCCGACGGGCGAGGTGGAGGCGTCCTCGTCACTAGCCACGTGCGCACGGCTAGGCCTCCTGGTGGCGATCGTAGAGGGGTCTGCCTCTGCCTTCGGAGGCGCCGACGACCGAGGTGGAGGCGTCCTCGTCACCAGCCACGATGTGGGGTCCATAGTATTAGAAAAGATGCAACTCTTGGGAGACTGCTAGAGCAAGAAGAAGAAAAAAAAACTCATCTCCCCTAACCTGATGGATTTATAGAGATCTCCCCTAACCTGATGGATTTATAGAGATAATAAGGGGGTGATATTGGAGGACCACTGAAGATGACATTCTCTCGAGAGTCATCAGTGTGTGAAGGAGTTCTCGACATCTTCTCGTCGTCCACATTTGTGCTAGCTGCAGCCTGAAGCTCAACCGACGTGGGCATCCACTGAAAACATCTAATAACATTGTACGTACTATACGCATCAGCCATCGCCCATCGGAGAAGAGAGTTGGCGGTTGTCGGTAGAGCGAGACTAAGCAAGCGCAGCACGTCTACACAGACAGAGAAGGGCGAGCGACGCGGACGCGGACCGGTAAAGCGCCGATTGCCGAAGCGGGTGAGCCCCCACCTCGGCCACGAGTCCAATCCAACAAACCAACCCCGCCGGGGCCGTGGTTGGGGCGGGATCATCAAATGATGCGGTGATGATGATGGCGTGGCCCCCTCGCCGGCACCGGGACGCGACATTTCTTTCCGTTTGGTTTCGTTTGACTACCCGTTCCGCACTTGGCCTGGCCCCACCTCGCAGTCCCAGTGCCTTGCGTGTTAAAAGGGCCTCGGCATCCCATCCCGTGTCCGGTGTCCCGCTCCCGTCCCTTGCGCGTTCCGTTCCTTGTTCCTCCGCACCCGCACCCCGCCCCACGTCTCGGCTCGCCCCGGCAACGGGCAGCAGCAACAAACCCAGAAGAACCTGAACTGAACCCACCGCACCACCAAGTAGGCAAGGGATCGATCGACACCCCCACCTCCGTCCGTCCCTCGCGAGCGAGGAGCGAGGATGAAGGGCGGCGACATGAGCAGCGTCAGCCCGATGGTGTCCTTCGTGCTGGGCGCCGCCATGGCCACCGTCTGCGTCCTCTTCTTCATGTCCGCCACGCCCGCTCGCCGCCTCGTCGACATCTCCGCCTTCACCTCCGCCGCCTCCAACAACTCCACCGCCGACCTGCAGGGGCTCGCCTCCTCCTCCTCCTCCGACGCCGACGCGGTGGCCGACTCGGCGGCCGCCCTTGCCGCCACCGCCACTCCGGCGCCGGCTCCCGCGCCCGTTCAGGTACTTACGCACCGCAGGCACGCGCGTGCGCCGCCTTCCGTCTTCCCTTCCGTTCGCTTTCCCGAAATTTCGTCCGCTGCTTCAGTTTCGATTCCACGGTGATCAATCCTGGTTGCGTGCGGTTTTGTTTTACTATACTAAAGCAGTTGCGCTTGATCATCGGAGCGAGCGCTTCCTCCAAACACCAATCATTTCTGACGATTTTTTTTTGGGGATTGGGGGAGGAGGTGTTTGGAACCGTAGTTTAGGATCTGTTCGTTTAAACTTATCAGCCGATTTATCGGCTAGTATTTTTCTCCCTTCCTTCAATGTCATCATCAGGTAGTTTCAGCGATCGGCTCACCATTGGTCAGAGAAATGCAGTTCAGTCTGATACGTGTACTTTCCTGCTGCTCTTCTCCTTCATCACTTCTGATTCCGACACAACACAAACAACAGGAACAGTACGAGCTCGCGAATGGAGTCGGTGCCCTGCTAGTTGTACTGCTAGTTAATTTCTTTTTTCTAAAAAAAAAGAGAGGCATAACATGGATGAAGCAGAACAAGACCGGAGTCAGTCCAGGGGGGGATGCAAATGCAACGTATCACCAGCAACTGACGAACGAAGGATGGAATAGAAAAACCGAACACAAAAAATAGACAGGACGGGAGAATCCCCTTTGAACAAGTTACGTCGTCGGACGGCGACCGGGTAACAAAAGCGTGACTAGTTTATCAATCGCCCAAAGCCTAAACTCCAAAAGCCACAGAACCAGCCGGCCGCCCTACACACCAGCTCACGTCTCGATGCTAATCCCCTCCTGCTTTCCTTGTTTTGTTTTGTTGATGACACAGACACTTTCCCGTCTCCCCGTGAACGGATCCGGTGACTAAAATTTAGGTGAGGTTATGTGAGGGGTTGAACAGGTGTTCGGACTAATAAAAAAATAAATTACAAATCCATCGGTTCTCTACGAGACGGATTTATTGAGCCTAATTAATTTATCATTAGCACATGTTTACTGTAGCACTACATTGTTAAAATTATGGACTAATTAGACTTAAAAATTCATCTTGCAAATTAGTCACAACCTATATAATTAATTTCGTAATTAATCTATATTTAATACTTTATGAGTCAAACATTCGAAACATTCGTTCGATGGAACAGCGGGGAGAAACCAAACACGACTACTACGGTGAGTACCTTCCCGAATCCGCGATTAAAAACCACCTCATCATTTGTTGCCTTGTCCACATGTTACCAGGTGACAGGAAAAGGATACTGCTAGCGAATGACTCATCGCATGACTTTGTTGCTAATCCCGAGAGCATTCGCCGCGTGTAGTCGTGTACTCCCCTGTATCTGTAGCCTGTCTGGCTGGCTGTGCATCCGCTAGCTGTCTGTCGGCATACTACGCTTGCTTTTACTGCTCGTCGTCGTCAACACCTCCACCGGATCACCACCGCCACCACCCACTGCTTCCCTCAACTGAATCCCTGCCACGTCCACACGTGTCCGCCGCGGCGGTGCACGCGGCCTCGGGAACCGCCCCGTGATCGACGGCCCATGATTGGCGCTCACCCACGCCACTCCGCCCTGCCTGCCCTGCCCTGCCCATCCTTGACGCCACGAGCCTAGGACACGATCATTCACACGGCGGCTATCACGCACGCGTTCGTGTACCAGCACTAGTGCACCGCGTTTCCGAGCGACGTGCACGACCTATTTTTGTACATGCGATGATCATGGCGCACATGCATGTGTACAGCGACACAAGTACAGCAAGAATAATGCGTCTCTTCACTTCCTTAAGTTGACGAGTATGCCGGTGGGACCGCTAGCATTCAGAAATGGCACTGATTGATTGGTTGCCGTTGTATGTATAAATAATAATAATGTACGTACCCACCTTCACCGTATATTGTACACAAATGCTACCGGATCGGATGCAGCGGATGCAACTGTTCACCTAATGGCTGCTGGCACCGCGCGCGCCGTCGGCTGTTAACGAACAAGCAGCGCGGCCCCGTGCGCCCAACCACCATTGCTGCACCCCCGTTTTGGTCACCTGGCTTTATTCACCTGCCAGCCAGATCACACGCGTGACGGCGATGCAGCAGCGCACAGCGCAGTCGCACCATCCAATATTGGAACCGACTCGACTCCATTAGTAGTACATCATGCATAATAGTCACAGAATTAATCAATTAATTAATCATCAAACAAGATTGACTGATTCTGGCGCCTAATAAAGCAACGAGCCAGCATTCTATTCCTGGCCAACTGATTGATTAAGCAAAACAATGCATTTGCAGGCACCGTCGCCGTGGGGCGACCTGGAGGAGGTGCTGGCGCGGGCGGCGACCAAGGACCGGACGGTGATCATGACGCAGATCAACGCGGCGTGGACGCGCCCGGGCTCCCTGCTCGACCTCTTCTTCGAGAGCTTCCGCACCGGGGAAGGGGGCGTGGCGCGCCTCCTGGACCACCTCGTCATCGTCACCATGGACCCCGCCGCCTACGAGGGCTGCAAGGCCGTCCACCGCCACTGCTACTTCCTCCGCACCTCCAACGGCATCGACTACCGATCCGAGAAGTCGTTCATGAGCAAGGACTACCTCGAGATGATGTGGGGGCGCAACCGCTTCCAGCAGACGGTGCTCGAGCTCGGCTACAACTTCCTCTTCACGGTCAGTACCACTGTTCACTTCTTCAGAATATTCGTTGTTTGCAAATAATGGATCTTCAATTACGCACGCGTTACACGGGCAAACGACGTGAGTTCGTTACGGGGTTCTACTCATCGGAGGTGGTTGAACAATCCAGTAGTCCTGGGTGCAGTGCCTGGTTGTTAAGCTGCGACGAGCGCCGCGCTGCCCTCCGACGGCCGGCCGGGAAATGTCCACGGCAGCTACTGCTGCTCAACTTGGACTTTGAAAATGTCTTGTACTGTACGCAGCTAGCGTGATCGCTGTCGATGATAGACCGATTTGCCTGGCTGCCCTCGGGCCTCGGCAGGCATCATGGTCATGTGAGTTGGAACTTTCGGTTTGTCACGTTGGGCCGACGGTTACTTGAGTGGCCACAGAGTTCCAGGCTTCAAAGTGGGTATGATGCCGCGCGCCGTGACAGACGCAAACGGTGACGTAAAGCCCGTAAATTCCTTCTGGACGGCGACCGGTGGCGCCGCCCGGACCCGCCGTGACCGCGAGCTCAGGCTCGCCCGGACAAGGAGATATCGTTAAAGATAGTAGCTTTATTACGGATGATTCGATGAAGAAGAAAATAGTACTAGTAATCATATATGGCTGTAATATGGTTGCGTTGTTGCTGGGTGCAGGACGTGGACGTGATGTGGTTCCGTGACCCGTTCCGGCACATCTCGATGGCGGCGGACATCGCCATCTCCAGCGACATGTACATCGGCGACCCCTACAGCCTGCGCAACTTCCCAACGGGGTTTCCTCTTCGTGCGGTCGTCGGCCAAGACCATCGACTTCTACCGGGCGTGGCAGCAGGGCCGGTGGCGCTTCTTCGGGAAGCACGAGCAGGACGTGTTCAACCTCATCAAGCACGAGATGGCGCCCAAGCTGGACCTCGCCATCCAGTTCCTCGACACCGCCTACATCAGCGGCTTCTGCCAGCTCAGCAAGGACCTCAACAAGATCTGCACCCTCCACGCCAACTGCTGCGTCGGCCTCGGCGCCAAGCTCCACGACCTGCGCGGGGTGCTCGACGTCTGGAGGAACTACACTGCCGGCACACCCGACGAGCGCCGCGCAGGCAAGTTCCAGTGGAAGCTCCCGGGCATCTGCATCCACTGAGGATCTTCATCGAGGAGAGCACCCGGCGAACGGCGAGTCCGGCAGCGGCATCATCCATCACCTGCTGCAGGGTGGCGGTGGCTGCCTCCCCGTGCCCCGTGCCCGGCCGGTTTCATCGCTCGATCTTGTCCATCCTTTCTCTGGCTCTTGGTTCTTGGCGTGAAATTTCAGGAGGTTGCGTTGAGGGGTAGGTTCCATTCTTTTGATTCGTCATCATCAAAGGTTATACTAGTAGGTAGCTAGAATTCAGGCAAAAATCGTTAAGTTATACTGCTCCGTATGTATGTATGCCCACAGCACAGCTTATATAATATGTATCTAATATCGTTGATCTGCACTGCACCTGTAAATCAAGATGGATGAATGCCACAGGCAGCGCCCATTTATCGCCAACAGACTCATTCTCACGCGTTGCCTCTTCGATTCAGAGCAAATTTCCAGATGTTGAACTAGCCTTGCTGCTACTACACTACGTGATCAGGATGCAGCTCATATTCAGAGCAAATTTTAACATTCTCTGGGCTGGGCAACATGAGATCAGGATGCAGCCAGGTACGGTGCTTGGCTAGTTAACAGTAGCACTGCAACAGAGCTCGAGAGCCGTTGCGAATTCGCATGGGCCACAACTGCACCTGGTACATATGGGCTGGGTCGGCGGCAGCTACTGGCAAAGCTATATATAGGCTGTGTGTGCTTCCTTTATTGGCCCGCTTAATAAAGGCCCAGGTTTTGGGTGCTGGGCCAAAACTTATAGGCCCTTTAGAAAGTTATTAGATGATGACAAAGTGGCCCTGCAAGGAATGTGCCAGAACCAAATACTCGCATCTCATACGTGTGCTGGGTTTGTAAATTGTAATGTTGGGAGTTTTTTTTTGTTTCTTCCAAATACTAAAGATTAGAGAGAAGTTCTACGCATTCAGCGACCCTCATCAAATCAAAAGAAATAAAAGAAGATCGGAGTGTTACAAAATAACGACACATATATAGGAAGAAATAAAAGACATTTGTCCATTTATATTAGTAATAAAGAAGAATAAAACTTTTTATAATCTCGAAAGAGGCCAAATAAAAAAAGCCTGTTAGTACATGGTGTCATGGTGTATGTATATGGTATCAACCAGTCATCCCTATATATTGGTGTATGTATATGGTGTCGCTCTCATAGGAAATGGGCTTGAAAAGTAATCATGGCAGTAGTGTAGAGTATACGTGGATTGGATCCGGATCCGGTGGGAGTGGATCTGGAGAAGCCCTAAGGACCATGGCACTATGGCAAGGTGCTTAGCTCATTAGATTGATCTCCCAAACCAATAAGCTCAACGGCTTATTGGGCCTTGGTCACGCATACGATCGGGGCGCCTAACCCTGGTTGGTGGGCCCTCGTCGCATCGCGCTTATATAAAGAGGTGGGGCCGGCGGCTCAAAGCACGAGGTTCGGGCTGTGAGCCGCAAACCCACCGACAAACCCTAGACCGATCTAAGAGGGCGCAGCAGCCAAATGACGGAAGTTCACGATCCTCGCTGTCATCATCATACACTCGCTCACCGACCGACGCATCGACGTCCTCACAACCTCTACTCCACCCGTCATTGCCCGTGTGCTGCTTCCATCACCAACCAAATGATGGCCAAAGACAATCGCGACTTCATCTGAAGGCTCAGTTCATCACCAAATTTCTCTCTACCCTATCTCCTCTCGGTGTAGTATTCTAGGTCTAAATGTGCATGTGCTTCAATCGGTCTAAGTATTCATCCGCTCTAGATCTACCCTAGTCGATCCACGCTTATAACAATGGTACCAAAGAGCTACTGGTTTAGGTATAGATATGGCTAGGGTTTTGATCTAGAAAGTAGAAAGGGCTTTACCGTACGACAAAGGGTTCGGGTTGAACCCTAAACTCGGTCCTTTCGGATCTCGAGAAAACATGATGGTTCGGGAAAAGTGAAGAATCAACATCCAAACCCCTAGATCGGGTTTTTGGGATAGAGATGAAAACTGAAACCAATTAAACCCAAGGTGATTCGGGAAAAGAATAACAAAGGTCGCCCCTAACCCTAACCCTAACCCTAATCGGAAATCGTGCAAAATCCGAACAAACGAATCAAAGAAACCCGAAGGGAAGGGAGTGGCTTACCTCGCCGTCGTGCACGCCACCACGCTGGGAAAAGAAAGGGCCGGCTGGGGTGAATCGCTCGCCGGATAAGGCCAGAGGCGCCACAAGTCAAAGCCGCTGATGGCGGCGCTCACCATTGGGGGGAGCGCCAAGAGACGCCGAGGGGGGCGGAGACGGCGCCGGGGCTCGGCTGCCGCTCGCCGTCGAAGCTCTCGCTCGCGTGGATCGCCACAAGGGACCGAGGGAGAGGAGAGGCAAGGAGGCGAAGAGAGAGAGAGAGCGAAGGCAACAATGGCGCTAGGGTTCAAGGGGCGCACGGCGTCGTCGCCGTTTTTGATCTCGCGATGCGGCGGCCGCCGTTGGATGGAGACGGACGGCCACGAGCGAGTGGGCCAAGTCGCGGCTCAAAGGATAGGGCGCGAGGTCGAATCCCCTACCAGCCCAAAGTTAACGGCTGGGCGCTGGGAGCTGTTGGCAGCATTGCAATGCAGGCAAGCGTTGGACCGGGAGAGCAAAGTAGCGTATTCGGGCCGCTTGTAGTCAATGAAGAATACCGCCTACGCCAAGGCGTGAATAGGCTATGGGCCGTTTTTTGCCGGGCCAGCAAAAGCCGACATCGGATCAACGAAATGGCCAAATAAATAGTAAAGTCACGCTTTTTTATTTTCTTATTTTCCGTAAAAAAACAGTTTGATCAATTTGAATTGAATTTTGTGATCATTTTCCGTACAAAATTCATCCAACGATAATTTTGTTCGAAGAATAGTAAAGTTGCTTCGGAAAATAGGAAAATGATCATTGAATGTTAATGTTTCCATTAGCAGTATTTAAAGTAATTATGGACTTTTAATTAAATTCAAACCAACGGGAGAATTTGATTTTAAGAGCCAAGAGATAAATATAAGTTGATTATGATATTGTTATTTTCTAACCAACGTTGTTAATATCAATATTATAATTTTAATGATTATGCATTATTTCTACTTCTGCCCAACGGTGATGTAGATTTAATGTATAAAATAATTGTATGTTTTAATTTTGACCAACGTTAAACTAAGGCATGCAATTATTGTTGTTATTTCTGTTCTCACACTATTTGAATTGTAAGCCAGGAGGATACAACTTAATGAGTTGTATCAAAGAGATCCCCACTCTAAAAGGTGATAACTATAATGAGTGAAAGAAAAAGATAGACCTCGCCTTCATCCTCACCGAGGTGGATCAAGTTGACACTACACCGTGCCCCGTGAGAACCTCGTGGCACCGGTGGAGGGAGACTGATGAGACCGATGTTGCATGGCGTAATAGAGAGCGGGATTTTGCTCCTCAGAAGATGTCCTATGACCTTGAGCATAGGAAATGGGTCACCGCCAACAAGAAGTGTTTGATGATGATAAAGAACACAATTGAGCCTGCTATTGTGGGCTCAATTCCAGCATCGTGACACGGTCACAGTAGTACCTAGATAGAATAAAGAGTCAGTTCATTGGCTCTTCAAAGACATATATGCAACCCAAATTGATCAAGCAAATGGTTACAAAAGGTACTCACTGTGGCGGCGGTGGCATTAGAGAGCACATATCGAGAATGAGCAATCCGCATCTAAGCTCAAACTAATGGATTTGCACTCAAGGATGAGTTTCTTATTCATTTGATTTTGCTTCTTTGCCCAAAGAATTTGACACCTTTATTGTTAATTACAACATACACCTCAAAAATGGGATTTAGAAAAGCTCATAGCCATGTGTGTGGAGGAGGAGGAAAGAATAAAAGTTTCACAAGGTGGTTCATCACAACTACCTAAAAGATAAGAAAAGAACTATTATAATGTACTTTCTTCCTCCAAGTCATCCTCGAAAAGGTCCCATGCAACAGGTCCTCTCGTAATCAAGAATTCCTAAAGGGCTAAAGACCAAAGTTCCATCAGTAAGAAGATTCGGGACATTATAAAAAGAACTGTCGATTTCCTAAAGATGATAATGAAGAATAAAGGTGAGAACATTATTACGCTCGTGAAATGAATCCTTGTATGTAAAGTTTTCAAAATCTACTTGGTGGATTGATTCAGTGCAACTATTCATGTTGCTAATTCATTACTGTGGATTCCGTTCGATGAGAACTTTGCAAAGAAGCTTAAAGTTTCATTAAAGTCGCAAATGGAGTACAAGCGGTTGAGGCCGCTGGAGATCTTCCTCTGTAGCTTCCAGATGGCTTTATACTTTTCTTAGAGATGTTCTTTATGTACCTTCTTTGCAAAAGAAACCTGATTAGTGTATCAAAGTTGGACCATGATGAGTTATGATTGCCATTTTGGAAATGGCAAATGTCGATATTGTTTAATAATAATGTGTTGGTCTTGCCTTCCGACAAGACGAGCTTTATTTGTTATCACTGTGAAAAATGTGAATTCTGTGATGTGATGTGAATGAAAATGTATCCTCATCGAACAATGAAAAACAGAAAAACGAAAGAGAGCTCACGATGCGTTGTCGAAATTATGGCAATCATTGCTTAGGGCCATATTTCGAGGGGGAGAATAGAAAGACTAGTTAAGAATAATATTCTTCCTTCATTAGAGCTCTCGTGAGTTAGAACAATGTAGAGATTGCATAAAAGGAAAGTATGTAAAGAAAATTAAGAAAGATGCCAAACGGGCTGGAATTCTACATGATTATTCACATGTACATATGTGGTCCTTTCTCCATGAAAAGTGTGGATGGTTATGATTCATTCATAACATTCATGTATTTATTACTCTCGATTTGGCTATATTTATCCAATTAAAGAAAGAAACGAAGCGTTGGATAAATTCAAAATATTTAAAGCGTAAGTTGAAAATCAGCATGATTTAAAGATTAAGATAGTCGTCCCACTGTGGAGGAGAGT